ATAGCTTAGTAAGATCTAAACCAAATAAAATTCACATTCTAAAGTCTACAAACAAGTTTTGGAAAGGTATTTTGGCCATTAAACTTATTTATTAAATTTAACTTTCGTCTTCTAAGGACCAGAGTTCTTACAATTACTGTGCTCCTATTCTATAATCATAGCCTGGGTTCGTTGTCAGTGCTTCATTAAACAGGCTATTTTTTCTTTCTTTTTTTTTTTTTTGGGAGACAGAGTCTCACTATGTCGCCCAGGCTGGAGTGAAGTGGCACAAACTTGGCTTTCACCTCCATCTCTCAGGTTCAAGTGATTCTCATGCCTCAGCCACTTGAGTAGCTGGGACTACAGGATTTCGCCATATTGCCCAGGCTGGTCTCGAACTCCTGAGCTCAGGCAGCCCACCCACCTTGGCCTCCCAAAGTGCTAGGATTACAGGCATGAACCACCGCACCCAGCCAATTTCTTAATTCTTAGACTAAATCTACAGGGGACACACTTTTTCCAACATTAGCTGCAAAGGGTTTTTTTCCTTCACACTTAAGTCACAGTCAGTCAGTAGTTTTTTGTTTTTGTTTCTGTTTTTGGTTTTTTTTTTCTGTATTTTTGTTTCCTTGTTTGTTTGCTTTTATTTGGGAAAACGCCTTTTTTGATAGTAAGAAATTACTTTTTACAATGTGAGGTCAAAAACAGCATGGGGTGATTTTTCTTCCACACCTATAGACACCTTTTTATTCCTGCCTCTTGCTGTAAATAGTTGCACAGTTAAAAGCAGAATGGACTTAACAGAGTATCATTTATATTTATAATTGCTGTATTTGTAATTCTGCTAGAAATGAATTCTGTTATAATCAAAGGTTACACTGTTATCTGAATTCTTGAAAAATATGTAAAAATAATGCTCTTTTGACTTTTCATAGGTTTATAGTCTATAAACACTAATTTTAATCAATAATTCATATCATTTATGATTAATTTTATTACAAGAAACAGATAATAATAGACGTAGGCCTAATTATTTTGTGACAGCTGGTGTGTTTGGAGTATTTGCTATCACCCTTAAATATGATACCCCGGCTGGAAAATATTAATTTGATAATGTACCTTCAAAAAATTATATAAAATATGTAAAAGCATAACCTTATGCACATTTTTAAAGCAAGGCCTTCTTGTAGGAAAAATATTACATCACGCATGAAGATGTTTTGTTTTCTATTATTATTTGAATTTATTTTAAAAGCCATTACTGCTCTGTATATGTGTGTGTGTGTATATATGTATACATATACATACATATACACACGCATATGAAACCAAAAATTCCAGGTTCATCATGTTCTACACAGATTTCCTTTTTTGTTGCCCTAACTTATTCTTAATCATTGGAAGCACTGAAAATAAATACCTGTTTGATAAATCAAGATGTGTGATCAAGGTAAAAATGCCATAGTTATTATACATAAAACTTTCTTATCATTACTTTTGTGGTAACTTTTAAAAGGGGTGGTGGTGGTGTGGGATACCTGGACAAAGTCCAACTTGGCTGCTTGACTGCTTTCACTGGCCTGGCTAACACTTATGTCTGCCCAGGGAAGGAGCAGGGAGTGTGTAGAGGGAAATGGCCTCTGCTGCTGTACTGCTTTGAGTTCCTCTCTGAGCTTGGCATTTACATGTATCTGTTTCATTTAACACTCTCAATAACCCTGTGGGGAAGGTGAGGTTATCTTCGCCGTTTCACAAAAAGCTTTAGCAAATAATTGTGCAGAAACATCCTTATGAGGATTTGTACTCCCATCTGAAACTAGAAGCCAAACTTATTCTATTGAATGATGACTGCCTCTCATATCTAACTGCAAAAAGGCACAGTTGCTTACTCCTTCCTACTTTACTGCTTTCATCCAATCATCTGTTCAAAGTATAAATTTCTGGTGGCAATTTACAAGATCCGGTGCCAGATTCTATGAAGGGTAAAATGTTGAGTCCTGCCCTCAAATAGGGAAGACAGAGAAGGTACACAAATAGTATCATTTCCACAGTGGTTTCATTCATTTAAGAGATGTGTTAATTACTACTTTGTGCCAGGTGTTGTACTGGATATTGGGGAACAGAGGTGAATGAATATGATTCTCACATTCATGGACCCAGAGCAGTTTAATGCAATATTGTATCTAAGCCTAGTGCTTTACCAGGTCACATCTCATAGCCTATCCAATATATTAAAATGCACACACATTCTACGTTAAATACACGTGTTTGCTGTTTAATCTAGTTTGAAGTACTTGAAGAATTGGAAGAACCAGTCGCCGAGTGTGGAAAATTGTTCTCAGATCTTCCCCCTTCCCTGTACACACACCGGTTGCCTGGTGAGTTTGCAGTTCCTCCCCACCCCATCAATGTTGGGCTTTGGGCAGTAGAGTGTAGACAGAACTAACACTGTGCTGAGCTCGACATTGGAAGCCACTTCATCTTTCTGTTTGCCTCTGTTCTGGTTCTGTCATTGCGTGTAAAGAACATGCCCCCGCTAATACTGTCTCATAGAGGGCATGAGGCTAAATGAGGTAGCCTATGGGATGGTCGTGGAGATGTACCTGGCACGAATGCTCCGGAAATGGCATGGCGCCTTTGCCATTATTACTTCTGTTACTACTACCGTGTTACTCTGTTTTGATGTATACTTGTCTAGATGGTTGTGCATGATTTTTAGGTTTTGGATAAATATTACCAAATTACTCAACCACTAGCAGGAAAAGGTGATGTTCATTTCAACTTGAGGTCAAAAGTGTTGCGAGATCGGGATTCCTAGGAGCCAGATCATAGACTCCAGCTCAGTCCAAGACCTGGAAGGCAAAGAACCTCTACGAGGGTAATGCCCTCATAAGGACTCTCCGTTTGGACTCTTAAGGGGGTGTCCACCCCATCAAAACTCCAGAGGCTGCTAGCCTTCCTCCTTCCAGAAAAGGAAATAACCACCGCGCCCGTCCTAGCTGTGGCCGGAGGTTCAAGCGCCCGGGCTGCAGGGACTAGTAGGGGCGCGCGATCTGTAGTGGCCTCCGTCTTCCTTGTACCTCAGGACGCAGAAACCCGCCCCGCTTTCCTCCAGACCTCACCGCCCGAAAGACCCTCCAAGACCCTCTCGGGGCGCCCGCAGTGCTCCTTAATTCGCAGCTCTACAGAATGAGACCAGCGTGGCAGCTCCCTTTCAGGACGGCTCCCGAGAGAGGTGAGAGCAGCCCCTAAAACTCAAGTAGGAAAGGCGTTTCTTCCTAACCGGGGTTGGGAGTGCTGCGCGCTGCCAGCAGATGGCGACAGAGGATGAGCCTGCGGAAAGCTGGTAAGCGGAAGGCGGAGGCGAGGCGAGGACCGACATCCCTCATGCCAATGGCAGCACGGCGTGGAAATGGTTTACCCAGTCCTCAGTTCTCTAGGACAGAGCTTGAGCCTTCTGGGAAACCGCATTTCCCTGACTGAGTGTTGGGGAAGCTCGAGTGGTTAGTGGGGGTGTCAAGTTGGGAAGCTAGACGTTCACTTCCTTGTGCTTCTCTGAGAACCATCTATTGGTCTAAAGGTGCTAGAACTGAGGCTGGTGAGCCCCTTGGGGCCACCTCAAGGGCTAATAAGATCTCAAACGCTCTTCTCTCCGTCCCTTGTGGTATCCTGGATTATTGTGAAAATGTATAGGGATTCCTGGGGAAGGCATAAGGATTAAAATATAAAATATATAGGTTTAAATATAAATAACTTTATATATATATATTTTTCTTGTAAACCAATATACAGTAGGAAGTTTAATTCCTTAACTTTCGTTTTTCTCCCTAGCCTTTTTATAGCCAACAAGAGCAAAAGCACACTGCAATTTCTAAACCAATTGCAGGCGTTTCTGCTCCTTGAAGCCTGGGAATTAATGTATATGCTCAGTCCCTTTTCCCTTAGCTGGCCATTGAAGAAATTGAACCACAGGATTGGACTGTCCAGAATCATTAGCCAGAGTTCATTTTGAGTGGATATCTTTTAGTTCTTCTTCAACACTATAACCAACCTTTACCAAAAGCAAAAACAAAACAAAACAAAAAACTGCAGACACCAGTGAGTTCTGTTCACAAAGAATGACTCCTTATGTCATCACACCAGCGAGGAATGGACCAGCCTCTGATTTTCTCTTCTTGGCTGACTTTATAAGGTTGGATGCAGCCCATGAGGATCATGCAGCAAAGACAGAAAGTGATGGAGAAGCCCCACCTTTAGCTAGTTTGTATGTTTCCACTTCATGTAGCTGTTGGAACACCAGTCTCTCTAATGTGCTCTATGGGATAGCTGTTACCTTCCACTAATTTATATCTATGATATATAAACCTAAAGTATCCTTTTAAAAATTTTATTCAGTTGGAGAAAATTTTCGTGCATGCCAGATATAGTGTTAAGCATTGGGATTGCCAAGATGAATCTAACATTGTCCTCACCATCCATTAAGTCACAATCTAGTAGATGAGTAAAAGTAAAAAAATTTAAAAACAGAGTTATAAACATAATACTGAAGTGAACAGGCTGCAGTGGTAGCACAGAGAGGGCTTCAGGGATGCTGTCACAGAGGTGGTAACATTTGAGATATAGATTCCAAATTCAGATGTGTTTTGCTGTTGCAAAATTCTAGGGTCTATGTGCCCAGTTCCTGATCATTCCAGTGATAATTTTTACCTAAAATTTAGGTGGCAAATGAATTGTATTATAACCACTCGGAACTACTGTGTTTCTGGTTCGTCTTGTGAAACCCATCGTTGGTTCAGAGGCATGGAAGCAGAGGTCATACAGCAGGTAAGCTCAAGCAGTGATATATGACAGGGCTTTCAGAATTGGGGCCGTGAAGAGCAGGCTTTATTTGCATGCTATTTAAAAACAAGTTTTTGCAACTGATTTATCCTATAACACACTTACATGAATAACTCAGTGGAGATTTATTTGCAATAGTAGGATCAGGTGATTTGAGATCTTTAATGTGTGTGGTTGTAGCAGGATTCTGAATATTCGATCTTTGCTGGATGCATAGTTTGCAAATATTTTCTCTCATTCTGTAGGTTGTGTGTTTAGCATGTTGATAGGTTCTTTTGCTGTGCAGAAGCTTTAATTAGGTCCCATTTGCCAATTTTTGGTTTTGTTGCAATTGCTTTGGGTGTCTTTGTCATGAAATCTTTGCCAGTGATTATTGGCATATTTTCTTGAAGACAGCATCTTTTTTCTAACATTCCATGGGTTCAATCTGATGATCTTGAAGCAATGACTCTTGTTTACCTTTCTCTTCATTGTAGGTCTCAAGTTTCTCATCATTTAATAATTTATACAAGCTCTCGTTTGTCTCTTTAATATTACAAAGAATAGAATCGATAGAATAACCAAACTCAATAAGGGCATGCACATTACATCCACGTTGATAAAAATGACCAAAGGTATGCAAAGCAACCAATTTGCCAGATGCATTAAACACTGGGGAGCCTGAAGACCCATCAGAGAAACAAGTATCGTAACTAAGCGTGTGCGTGTCCCAAACCTCTGATAGGAAACTTCTTTGGGTAAACATAGGGTATACATTACTGGTGGTATCACGGAGATCTACCAACCCATCTTGACAATCGTTTGGATATTTTTTCAATCGTTCATTTAGAGGAATCACAGTACAACCATCTATTTTCTTGATCTGGCCTTGGGGATGACCAATTAAATAAATCAAACCAGTAGATGGTTGAGGAGAAATCTGTCGCCATAGTCCTGGAGGAAATGCATTTCCATTTTCTTTTAGTTTTAAAATGGCATAATCTAGAGTTTTATTGGAAAAAAGCCATGGCTCAATGGAAAACCAATTGTCACGAGCAGGGCAGAACTCTGTATAAGTGAAGGTTACCTTAGCACATTTGCTAATTATATCTTGCCACAAACTTTCACATGTGTTTTCACCTGCTATAAGATGTACAACGTGTCGACAGGTGAAAATATAACCACCATTGAAGACAAAGCAAGTAGCATTGCCTGTGTTTCCATTATTGTCCCATTCCATGAACCCAACTGACTTGCTGTGATATGTAAGCTGTTCACAGGTTGCAACTGAAACAGAATTTGCAGTCATTTTTCCAAAGTCCTTTTTATATATGTTGAATTGCTTAGATGGTGAAAGATCCATTCTCTTTTGTTCTTCCTGAAAATATTTTCTTATCCACTGTGCCTCCTCCTTAAAATTCGGATAATGATGCATAATGGCTTCATTCAACATTTGAGAATTCTTTAAGAGGTTAATTGCCTCCTTTTGGACATCCAGATTAATAGCATACTGCCTACTCAGATGTGGTCTCCGCCTAACTTGTGAGTTTATTTGCCAATATTTTCGGGTCAAACTATGAATGTAATAATTTCTAATCCTGGGAATTGTCTGGCGAGTTTTACCTTTAATATAATGGCTTAGATCCTGAGGTAGGAGAATTTGCTCTCTGCTGTGTTCTACATCTTTGGTCTCTCCATCTTTCTCTGGTTCATGGACTTTTTTCTTAGGCTGTATCAGACTCTGGTGATTAACTTCATCAGTGGCATTTTCATTCTGTTTAATTTTTTTATGGATATCTTTCCGTTGTAATTTTTTTGAAATGTCCATTTCTAAGACTTTTCCAGATACTTCATCCACCATGGACTGTTTTCCATAAATTTTCTTATGACCTTCCTTTAGTTTCCATTCAAATTCACCTATGTCAGACCGAAAACGGCCATCCTTGCATAAGGCTCCTTCAATAGTCTCACCCTTCAAGGCATAAATACAAAGTTTACTTCCTTTTTCATGAAGTTCCTTTATCTTAACAATCTTCTTTATTGTCCTTCCTATAGCAACAACATGAAAAAGAATGCATTCCATGTTTGGATTTTCACATTGGCGTAATATGTGTCCATCTTCTTTGCTACTCTTTCTTTGATGAAATGTAATTTTAAAATGAGAATCACTAGGCAGGCACTTGAGAGGCATTCCTAAATTTATATGTCCATCTATTGTCTTTTCTTCATAAACAATAATATTCTTATTAAACTGATTCTTCATCCTTTCACTGAAATAGTCATTAGCACTCAGGGCTGAGTAGATACTCTCACTGGGTTTACCATATGCTGTAAACACACTACGGTCTAATTTTCTGGAGTTTTCATTCAAACTAAAGGTGAAACAACATTCTTTGTTGTTCAAATTTGGATTCTGCATTTCAAGGGCTGTTTCATGCTTGCTGACTTCACTTTCAGGCTTAAAGGTGCTGCTACACTTTCTTATGCCAGATAGACAATGATCAACAGGTGTGTCAGCACATGTCCGCTTCATGACAGTATCCTTAAAAAGGAAAGGTTAAAGAGGTTAAAAGGAATCACCCTTAATAATGTTTTATATTTTTCTGATGATAGAACTAATAGATATTCTGAATAAAAATTGGATAATATAATGGTTAACGAATAATGGAGAAAAAAAATCAATCACTGTTCTATCACCAGAGATATTCATTCTACATTTTATTTTAATTTTTATTTTTTTTCTCTGTATACTTTGATTTTGTTTTCTGATTTTTAAAAGTAGTACTTTGATTTTCAATAAGGGTCCTAAGACCATTTAATGGGGGAAATACCATCTTTGTAACAAATGGTGCTAGAATAACTGGATATCCAGATGCAAAGAAATGAGTTATACCTAACTTGAAGTGGATCAGAAATAGCCCTCTATTATTTCATATGCAGATCTAAATCTTATGTTTCTTAAATACTATGTTGCATGTGACTTTATTTTTCACTAGGCAATGTGTCACTACTTTGCGCATTAAGCAACCTTTGAAACCACAAGCTGAGGGGCTATAGAATATTTCACTGTATAATAATTTGTAATCCATCCTTTCATTGCTGAATATTTAGATTATTTCCAGATTTTTACTCTAAATATGACAAAATTTCCTACAAATATAACATTTTTGTCTGCACATCTGAATATTTCCCTAGGTCATATTCCCAGGAGTGGAAATACCACAACTGAGGATATAAACATATTTTGCAACATATATTTTGCCTAACTGCCTTCCAGAGAATTGTATCAACTCACCCCATCCCTTCTCTCCAGCTGCTCAAGGAGACCAACCACAGTCCTATGGTTGATTCCCTAAAAGGATCTGAGTGTTACTATTTTAAATGTTTGCCAATTGCTATATAAAATTCTATCTAATTTGACTGTTTTTAGAATGTACATTTATTCACTTACTAGTGAAGCTGGACTTACTTAATTTATCTTTTAGCTATTTGAAACATCACCTTTCAAGGATTCCCATTAAAAATCTGTTTAGTTTCTGTTCTGTCAATGGTTTTGATAGCACTAAGAAAATATATTAAAATGACAGATAAATAATAGGATGGAATACATAAATAAATAAATATAAATACTCAAATACAATCAGTTGGTAGTAGCCCAGGATACAAGATATTGAGAATCTGATGGCAACAGAAATGAAAAACGTAAGTAAAAAACATTATATGATAGGAGTCAACATAACTTGGAAGGAAATCATTGTGAAGTCTGAAGTATTGGATCTAGTCTATATAAATAGAGGAAAAAGCCTGGAGAGAGTAAAATCAGAAGGTACAGCTCAGCTTGGATCATTTGGTAGATGAAATGGAATGAGCTTAGGTCTCAGGAATAGTGATTTCCTTTTTGTCTTGGGACTCTCCTATCACCTCATGTTTTCAAATATTTATTGCCCAAATCTATCTCTGCAGCACTGACCTCTCATCTAAGCTCCAGATATTAATATTTTGTTGCCTCTTTGACATCTACTCTTGGATACGTCAGAGACATTTCACTCTTAGCCCCTTCAAAACCAGAGTCATAAAATTTAATTGTGCCCCTCTTCCTGTGTTGCTGAATCTGATAATGGTGTCATTACCCATTTGACTACTCAAGCTAGTATCCTGTGAATAGTCCTCAGTGTCTCCTCCTTTCTCTTACATACTGTGTTTTTTAAAAAATATAAAACATATTATGCAGGCAAAAGCAGTTTATGACACTTTATATTTCATATAATAAACATCCATGTATCTCCTTCCCAACCTAAGAAATAGCACACTACAAATTACATTACAAATCATTAGAGGCATACAGTGTGTCCCTCCTTCATCTTATTTCCTTTTCTCCTTCTCATGGACCACCACTAAGTCTGAATTTGTTTTAAAATTATCATTGTCTTACACTTATTTAGGGACATATACATATGTAGTAAAAGTATAAATAGTACACTGTTTCACTTTGCTGGTTTTGATTGTATATAAACAGATCCAGCTGAATGTGTTCTTCTGTGATTTGCACTACTTTTTTATTTGATTTATTTATTTTTTTGAGACGGAGTCTCGCTTTGTCACCCAGGCTGGAGTGCAGTGGCACAGTCTTGGTTCACTGCAACCTCCCCCTCCCAGGTTTAAGCAATTCTCTGCCTCAACCTCCTGAGTAGCTGGGATTAAAGGCGCATACCACCACACCCGGCTAATTTTTGCATTTTTAGTAGAGACGGGATTTCACCATCTTGGCCAGGCTGGTCTTGAACTCCTGACCTCGTGATTCACCCACCTCAGCCTCCCAAAGTGCTGGGATTACAGGCATGAGCCACTGCGCCTGGCCTGCATTACTTTTTTGAGGTTCATCTTAGTTGATGAAATTCTGTATCCACTTTTACAGTTAGAGATAATTCACTGAAGAAGTAAACTGTTTATACACATTTCTGTTATTTCTAGGGTTTTTCTAATAAAAGCAGTGGTTAATTTTGCTATGAATATCCTCAAATATGTTTCCTGGTGCACACGTACAAGGGTGTCTCTCAAGTATAGACTTAGAAGTGGAATTGCTCAACTTCAGAAATAGAGTTTAGCAATATTTGAAAACATGAGGCAAGGAGAAAAGGAAAATGAGTAATCACCTTTATTATAATAGATATTGCCTTATTATTTAACATAATGGTTGTACCACCTTGCACTTCCACCAATGAGAGAGTTTTCATTATTCCATGTCTTCATCAAAGCTTGGTGTTATCTGTGTTTTAATGTTTCCCTATTTTGTGTGTGTGAAATAGCATCTTATTGAGGATTTAAACAGTAGTTTCCTAATTACTAATGAAACTGAACCCCTTTTCACACTTCAATCTCTAAAATGCTTGTTTATGTCTTTTGTTCATTTTTATATTGGATTATTTGTCTTTTTATTATTGATTCTAGGAGTATTTTAAATATTGTAGATACAAATTACTTATTTATGATACGTGTTAAACGTCTATTCTGAATTTCTTCTTGATTTTTCATTCTCAGGTGTCATAAAGGAGTTAATTTAAATGTTGTCAAGTTTATTAACTTTATATCATTAGAACACCTTTCACAGGATAATTCTGTTTTTTTTTTTTTCTAAAAATTGTAAAGGTTGCTTTTACCATTCAAGTTTTTAGTCGGGAATTATTTTTTGTATATAGCTTGAAGTAGGTATCACTGTTTATTTTTTTGCATGTGGATAACTAATTACTCCAGCGATGCTGACTGAATTGTTCATTCTTTCTCCACTGATCTGTACTGCCAGTTTTGCCACATAAGATTGTTATGGGTTGAACTGTGTCCCCTCAAAACTCACATGTTATAGTCCTAACTCCTAGTACCTCAAAATGTGACCTTATTTGGATATGCAGTTCTTGTTGATATACTTAGTTAAAAATGAGGTCACACTGCAGTGGGATGGGCCCCTAATCCAATACCCCCGGTATCCTTAGAAAAGGGGGAAATATAGACATAGAGACAGACACACACAGAGTGAAGATGAGGTAAAGAGCTGTAGGAAAAACATGACCAACTATAAGCTAAGGAGAGAGTCCTAGAACAGATCTTTCCCTCACAGCCCTAACAGGTAACGAACTCTGCTGACATCTTGACCTTGGACTTTGAACCTCCGGAATCATGAGACAATGCATTTCTGTTGTTTAAGCCACACAGTCAGTGGTACTTTATTACCCCTAAGAGACTACATAGTCTGGACTTTTCTAACAAAATACATGATGCAGAGCCCTCATGATCTAATCACCCACCAAAGCCCCATCTCTTAATGCCATCACCTTGGAGATTAGGATTTAAACATATGAATTGTGGGAGATGCAAAGATTCACACCATAGCACAAACTAATACAAAGATATTGTCATATCTTGAAATTTGTGAGTCTGTCTCTACTCTCTCTGTTCTGTTCCAATGGTATATTTTTCTGTATATTCACCAAATACTGTCTTAAGTTTGAGTTTTTCTACTCATTAGTATATCTTGACATTGATTTATGTCTCATTTTCAAGTCTTCAACAAAATAATTTTCTCCATAAATGGTTAACAAATAATGTTTACATTTCTTCCTAAGTAAATAATATTTTTCTAGGCATTATAAAATAATTTTTGAGGGATTACATTTTCTGATATTGCTGACTAAGCTAAATCCATTGTTTTGTAAATATCAACCTTAAACCTAGCCAATTTCCTACATTATAATCATTCTAATATTTTATCTATAAACCTTTTTTGTTTCAAAAATAGATATGATACCATCTGTGAATATTTCATGAATATACTTTGTTCCCTTCTTTTTAATCCTCAAATATTATCTTTTACTATTTTTTATTATCACACTGTATTGGCTAAATTAAATTTTATTTACCAGCTAAATAAAGGCAGTAATAGTGAGAACTCCTCTATTCTCCCTCATTGTAAAGGAAATACTTATAATGATTCATTATTTAACATGATGTTCCCTGTGAGATTTTTGAAGATGCCCTTAATCTGGCTAAGAAGCCTTCTGGTATGTTTATATTTATATATTTGATAGTAATAGGGGCAGCCAAGATAAAGTAAGCCCATTATTGCCTATTATTTCCACTAATTAAAACTAAAGTCTTTGGAAAAATAAAAAAAGCAGCATCCTGAGCTTCTACTCTGGCCACCATGGAATAACATAGAACTAACTTATACTCCTGCCTGAAAATCCTGGAGAAATGGACAAAATACACAAAATGGTTTCCAAGACATTCAGCATTAGTCAAAGGACAGTGGTACTTGAGAAACAGAAAAACAATGATGCAAACTCTATGACTGCCTGAGCTTACTGCCTGAAAAGAGGCTCTAGGCCATGGTGCAGGGAAAAGAATCCAGACAAAGCTCAGTAGCAACTGAGTTGAGGAAAAGGAACTGAGTTCTGGGAAGCCAATGGGTTTAGCTTTTGAAGGGCAGGAGAAGACTGTACACAGAGGGTCCCCATAAGTCTTCAGATGACTAGTGGTCTGCACATGCAT